GAAAGTTTGGACTCCCTTCCAGTTTGTCAATATCAACTTTGTGCCTGTTCAGGTGAGACATCCTGTCACAATGCAATGCTGAATCACACACTGACACCTCTCATGTTTATTCACCCTTTCCTGTTTTCTCTGTTGTTGTTTTTTTTGCTTTCAGTTCCGCGTGCTGTTTGCCAACATGATCGCACTGTTTTGGTACGCCTACCTTGCATCTGTGAGGAAATGAATCTTCCTGCAGTGGCTTTTTAAGCTGTTTACCGCGCTGCTGTACACCAGCTCCTGATCGGGACGATAATTCTCACACACAGTAGCTTCTTCTGATGATCTCCTAACAAACCTGTACACTGAGTTTAAGCCATTATACTGCTATGATACTGCGTTTGTAATAACAACATAATACATGTCTTTTTTACCGAGCACTGTAAGATGTAATCTTGATTTATACTATTCAATGAATGACAGTGCCTTGTTACTTGTGGTGTGTGCAGGGTATACAGCTCCACCTCTGTGGCTGATGTAATATTACAGAACAGGAAATGTGGAGACACAACGCAAATTCACACTTTAAATAGTTTCTTTATTATTTTTTTAGTACCCAAATAACACAATTTAAAAACATGCATTTATGAAAATGAAATTTTTAACATACCATGATGTCTATATGTGTAACATTTGTATTTGCCAAAATAAAATGTTAAGCCAAAATAAAAGTTGTAAGATTATGGAGGAATGTGTTGGATTTTCAAATTAAAAGACTACTAAATACAAAAATAAAGCATTTGAGGCTATTTGATCTTCATCATATTAAATTAAGGAATGTACAGTTTATTAATTATCTCATATACAAGGCTGGTGGGTGCTCAGCCTCCTCTCAGACGCAGCAGCATGTTGATGGTGCTATGAGATACGACGTTGTAGTCTGAAAGTCTCCCACCTGTCATCTCTCTGCTTTGGTGAAGGAGCCTCTGCTGGCTCACCGGGACCCCCTCTCTGCTCTCGACCTTGGTCTTAAAGTTCCTCACAGTCTCATTGGGTCTGATATCATAGGTGCTCTTCTTCCCCTGTAGGTTGCTGAGGAACACCTGGATGGTCTCTGCTGCTGGTGACCAGCAGAGACACCATGGATCCAGACTGTAGACCGTAGTAGCAGAGAGGCTTTGAGTCGTCGTTGAGTTGAGTCGTCTGGCCGTTCACAAAGACCAGCTTCTGCTTCTGAGGGGAAACTCCAAGTTTCTCGTGGATGAGTCTTTTCAGAGAGCTCCACTGTGTCCTGTGGGTTCCCTGTCAGGGTGTGGAACCTCCCATCCAGCATTTTAATGGTTATATCCATCATGAAAGTGGCCTGAAAGACAGTTCAATATAAGTGTAAATTAGGGCTGCACGAGTAATCGAAATATTATCCAAAGTGCAATATCAAAATATAAAGGTATAAAGATATATATTTTAAATATAAGTGTAGAGCGCAGAAAACATGTTTATTTGGTACAAACCCCCCAATCATCATGATTTTAAGTTTTTTACTTGAAAATTAAAGTTATGATGCAAAAATGATCATTCCCACTATCTCATATCCGTCAAAATAACCGCAATGATTTGTTTTTTAACCATAAATATCATGCAAACTCTTTTCAGTAAAGTCTCACAGTGCAGTGTTGATAAAGAGAGCTTCCTACCTTGTGTTCTCGTCTGTAAAATCTTCAGGAAAACTTCTTGAAAAGGTGACAAACGAACAGATGACTGTCAAAATCAGCTGTGCCAGAGGTTTCAGCTCCCCACAGTTTATATACAGTCTGCCTCAGCTGATCAACACCGCCCCCTTTACTTCACATTCGTTTTCCTTCTCTGCCTTCATAACTTTCAGTTTCTATTCTCCTGACATGACACAGCTACTGTGAGCACATTCATCACCAACACTGCCTCAAGGTGTGTTTAAGAATTCACCAACAATAAGTTGTATCCAAGAGGTGGGGCAGTGGAAAACAGCTGTAAATATGAAGGAATGACAAACAATTAAATGATTAAGCAGGGACTTTTTGACAGCCTGAATAACTAATGACGATTACATCAAGACTGGTTCTAGCATGAAATGTGACAAATACGTCACAATCTGTTTTTGAAAATAAATTTTCTCTGGAAACAAAACAGAAACAATACTAGAATGAAAAGAAGATAAAGATTATAGTGTGAATCACAAATAAAAACAATGTCCTAACTCACTTAATATTTCCGGAAAAATAAACCACAGGCGTGAAATGAAACTGAAACATAACAAACACCTAAATAAATGCATAAACAGCAGGTCTTTATTTTTTACAAAATGAGAAACGATTAATAAATATCACAGATCAATTCATAAACATCAGAACTCTGAGTGTTTCAGCATGGAAGCCCTCTCCTCCCTCGTCGGTAGAGGAATATTTCCTGCGGTAAGAACACAAATATTAGTCGAGCATCCTCCAAATGAAAGCAACATCTTTAAATTATATGTATATAATTTAAAACAAAACGTATTCTTACCTGGTGGTGCCACAAAATATTCTTCAACGGTGTTTTTGGAGAGCTGAAGCAGCTCCTCAGCACAGCCCCCCTCTGTCACTGCGTCAGCCCTCAGGTCTAAAGCCCTGAATGTGCATTAATAAAGAGTTATAACTGCTATGACTCTTATTATTAGTGGTTATAACTGTATGTGTGTTTGTGTGTATTGTTTTCACGTCTGTACCATACCTGTCCTCCAGAACTGAGTCCATTGGTTCAACACCGGACGTGTCAACAACATGCAGCTGATCTGCAAATCTGATAGCTTTCTCCAAACAGGCCAGTCCCTGTTTGGTGCGGAAATCCACTAAAGCGAGTCTCTCCAGTTTGTCCACCAGGTCAGCGGGGATTTGGGCAGGCTGTAAAATCAACAGTGTGTGTGTGAGACTGACTCCTTCCCATCATCATTTAAAAACACCATTAACTGTAAGTAATCATTGCATCCATTAATAATTTCTAACCACCAAACACTGTCAGGGCCATGAAGGCTTACTATGAGTGAAAGCTGAAACACCTCGACTGCCCCCTGGTGGCTGACTGCAGTATAGGTCATAAAGCCTGCTGACTCCTTGTTAGCAGATGGGACATGAGGCAAACTAAAAATCTAAATATACTTCAAAATAAGACAAATAAGATAGTTTCTGTCATTTTAGGTAGTTCGGTAGGTGCCAGTTCACCTCCTGGGCACTACTGAGGTAGTCCCGAACTGCTCACTCCACCATCTGCATGTCTACAAACCCTGTGTCTGTGTGTGTGTGTGTGTGTGTGTGGGAGAGATTGTGTTTCAGGCCCTCACAACAACAAAAAACATACAAAGTGAGTCTTCTTTGCAAATAAAACCCCTCTTTGTGATACTAATCCTCTGCTGCAGCTCAATAATAAACTTGAACCACAAATGAGGGAATTTGCAACTAAAAACACTAACTTTGGCAGATATAGCCACACTAAATGTGTCTAACTCAGACTTTTGAAGCCCAAATAAACCTCTGAATACATTTCTATATGTAATAATGACTGGTTATTAGAGAGTTAAGGCCTCTCTATGATGGGCTTTCAACTAAACATATAAAATCTAACTCAACCACCATGCACGTACACCCAGTCCTGAGAATATTACCGGTGGAAGTTGGTCCTCTGATGCTGGCTCCCATGTTGCAACCTCTGGTACCTATTAGAAGAAACCAGCTGGTATCAAGACTCACATGTTTATAATCTATATTGGCACTAAACAGACAGGCTGCAATATAAATAACACTCATTCACCTTTACTTTACCTTGGGGTTGTGTGGTTGAGAGCTCAACAGACGTGTTATATTAGTGCTGTGGCCCTGCAGGAAGATGTTTCCTGCTGAGGATCCGTCGTTAGTTAACAGCTTCAATGAAGGCCGGATTATCTTCAGCGATACGCCGCGTTTAGCAACGAGACCAAACGCGGACATTTTAAGCACAATTAGCAACCCAGCTGTGTCCGACTTGTGTTAAAATAGTGTCGCATTGTCTTATTGTTTACTAATTCACCCGGAAGGTCAATGAAAAGGGGTCTGAACTTCTTTCACATGGACGTAACGTTAGCTAACGGCTTGCCGTAGTCAGCCCAGAGAATGGTAAAACGAGAGGTTTAGCTTCCACGTACTTCCTTGTTCGTTTTTGTCCCAGGTAGACAACAGACTTGTTAGTTTTTAGTTAAAATACAACGAGGGTGTTTTATTGTGTATTGTGTTTTATTAAGTATTTAACCTTCCTAAGCAAAGTATAGTTTAGTATATTATCATCTTTGAGATAAAGCATTGTGAAACCGGTTTTTCCGGTGTTGGCGCAGGCGTACTATTGTTATTGTAATACTGTTATTCAAATTATCTCAAGTGGACGACATGTAGCGAAACATAACAATCCTAAATGTGAAGGTTTCCCAC